AATAAAAAAGTTCACTACCTCAAATGCACAGATAGAGAAACAATCCATCAAACAACATGACCATCCAAGGTAATTTGGGAACACACAAAATGAAATGTCCAGAAATCAAACTCAAAGTCATGGAAGATGGTGGTTTAAATGTCAGAATTCAAGACTGCAGCTATGAAGAAACTCTATGATATACAAGAAAACTCAGAAAGGCAGTTCAATGAGCTAATGAACAACAGGAGTACTTTACTAAAGAGAATGGAACTATAAAAAGAACCAAATTCTGGAGCTGAAGAACTCAATAAATGAGTTAAGGAATGCATTAAAGAGCAATGAAAATAGAGCAGACCAGATGGAAGAGAGAAACAGCTCGAAGATGGAAATCTAGAAATGACCCAGGAGGGAGAAGAGAACCGAGAGTTTAAAATGAAAGAACTCGCCCTAACCAGTTTGGCTCAGTGGATAGAGCATCGGCCTGCGGACTGAAGGGTCCCGGGGTCGATTCCAGTCAAGGGCATGTACCTTGGTTGCGAGCATATCCCCAGTAGGGGGTGTGCAGGAGGCAGCTGATGGATGTTTCTCTCTCTTCGATGTTTCTAACTCTCCATCCCTCTCCCTTCCTTTCTGTAAAAAACGAATAAAATATTTTTTAAAAAAATTAAAATGAAAGAACTCTATGTCCTGGCCTATGTCAGTGGTTAGAGCATTAGCCCATGCAGTGAAGAGTCTCAGGTTTGATTCCTAGTCAAGGGCACATACTTAGGTTGCAGGTTTGATCCCTGCCCTAGTTGGGGCATGTGCAGGAGGCAACCAATCAATGTGTCTCTCTCACATAGATGTTTCTTCCCCTCCCTTTTTTCTCTTCTCTCTAAAAATCAATAGAAGAAATATCCTTGGGTGAGGATTAACAAAGAAACAAAAAGAACTGAAAACTATCCAACATTAGAAAGAGCAATCCTATATAATAAAAGAAACATGTAAGTTGACTGTCTCTTCGCTACATCCCCAGCCACCAGCCAATCAGGAGTAATTTGCATACACAGGCGCCAGGCAGACAGCAGAAGCGTAAGAGCCGGCAGCTTGGGGTGACGTGGCTCCCTCGGTTGCTCCCAGTGCAGGGAGCACCAGGAATTCTGGGAACAGGAGTTCTGATGGCAGCCCCAGGACCGGAACCAGAAGCCCAGAGTGCGGGGAGCACCAGGAATGCTGAGAATCGTAGTTCAGTGGCAGATGGATCTCCTAGACACTAGAGCAAAGTGAGCCTGGAGCAAGTTACTGGTGCAGTGGGGGATGGACGGAAAGCAAAGGTGAGAGACATAAGTAAAATCAGAGTATCTAGGAAAAATTATAGGGAAGATATCCTAAAACTTCCAGGAAATCTCTACCAATGAAACAAAGAGAAAAAATGCCCCTATTATTCTGTGAGCAACAAACCAAACTGGGTTGGGGGTCTCAGATAATTCGCTCATATGATTGCAAAGACAGACAGAAACTCCCGGATTGGAGAGGGCTCCCCTGAGGGCTTCCAGATTAGAGAGGGTGCAGGTTGGGCTGAGGGACCCCACCCGACCCCCCCCATGCATGAATCTTTGTGCACCGGGCCCCTAGTATAAGGATAACAAGTATACCAGAAAAAAAGGGAACAGAGAGCCTACGCAAATAATTTAAGAGAACTTTCCAAAGCCTATGGAAAGAACTGAACTTTATAATAGAGGAAGTGAACATAAGACCTAATTATATCAATGCAAAAAGACCTTCTCCAAGACCCATTTTATTCAAACTGTCAGAAATCAATAACAAAGAATTCCAAGGAAGTCAGGGAGGAAAAAAAGACTATCTTACAAAGGAAACCCCATTATATAATCAGATTTCACAGTGGAACATAACAAGACAGGAGTAATGGAAGGAAATATTCAAAATATTGAAAGAACCATCAGCCAAGCGTAATTTATCTAGCAAGTTAGTCTATAGATATGAAGGAGAAATGAAGGCTTTCTCAGACAAAAGCTGAGAATTTATCACCACAAGACTGGCATTACAAGGATTGTTGAAAGAAGCTCTTTTATTGAAAACAAAAAGACAAAGGTATACAAAACTGAGTAAGATGACTAACAGACAGAAACAGGAAACTTCATACTTCAGAATATGATATTAAACAGTTATAACAAAGGTTAATGGGGGGCAGTGAAGGGATGCTACTGCAATTTGGTAATACCATAAAAAGGAAGAATTTGTGACCGCAAAATCACAAAAGGGGGGCGGAAAGTGACTTGAGTGGGTACAGGTGAATGAAATATAAGACTGAATCAGAAGAACAAGGACTACCATATGTATGAAACATTTTACATAAACCTAATGCTAACCACAAAACAAATATCCAGAGCTGAGATTCCAAACAAAAAAGAGGAAATGGAGAAAAAAATTATCATAGAAAACCACCAAACTAAAATAGCAGACAGAATCACAAGGAGCGAAAAAGACAGATACAAAAGTAACAAGAAAAGATAAATTATCTATAATAAATTTCATACATCAATAATCCCCAAAATGTAAATGAACTAAACTTATCAATCAAAAGGCATAGAATAGTGAGACAGATTAAAAAACAAATCTCAACT